AAAGAGTGACCTTTGTCCTTTAGATGCAGATGGACCACCGAGTCTGAATAGTTTATATTAATGGGCCAATAGGTTCGACTATAGGAGCACGGGGGTGTGTTTAAATGAGACACAGGCAGGAACGTGACTGGAAAGAACCAGTCGGCTTTAGTGAACCAAACCATAAGTTCTGACAACCACAGGGTTAAGGCACTTTACAGAATTATGGAAAAGAAAATTACAAAAAATTAAAGAAAAGTAAAACCACATAAAACTACTAATATAGCACCCTGGCCAAGTGTTAGCTTTTAGCTCTCAATGTTGGGTGCACCCTGGTAACTGACTCCTTAACTTTTACAGAAAACAGATGACTCAAATTCAATGTCCATTCAAATGAAGATCTTACACACCATTCACATGTGGAAAATGTTCTACACAGCAGATTATTATTCAGAGTCCTAAATAAAAGTTGTCCAAGGGGTATAGTCCAAAAATTCCCAGGGTGCGAAAGAAATTAGGGATGAGAAAATTTCAGTCAGTGGTCTTACATATAACCACCTGAGTGTCAAAGTGTGAGTGATACAGGCCTACCACACCGCAAGGTGCAGCAGATCATCAGGTGGAAAAGAAGCAATGTATTGTCAAAACACTTTTTTGTAAATTGCAAAATAAGCACTTTTCCAAAAAACAATAGGAAAACATTAAAACTTACCAAGCAAATTAAATAAAGTTATTGCATATGCAACAATTATTAATCAAAATAATTCATATGAATTCACTTATACAACAATAAGTTGTTCAAATAACTTTTGATTTGAACAAACAGACAAAAATTAACTGAGGCATACACAATATGTGCTCACCGATAGAAGACAATGGTATGGTGTCTCTCATAGTGGTGTGCAAATCATGAACGAATCGTTCAATACTCGAGAATCACTTTACTGACTCATGAATCATGATTCACAAGCCCAACCAACTCACTGACTCATCCCTGTTACTGAAGCAAACTAATTTCATTAGTAGAAATATATCTAGCTTATAATTAAAATTGTGGAAAAAACAACAACAACAACCAGTTTCTTAACAAAAACATTTCTGCTCTGGACTGGACGAAAAAACCCTGAGTAGAAACCTCACACCAAGACAATAGCTCATCAGTTCACAGTAGCATCGCTGTGCTAACATGCTAACAGCACATTTGAGCTACTCAAACATGCAGGGCTCTAAATGACATAACAGGGCACGTTTTTTACTCTTTATTGACAGTAATGTGATGTCTCAACGTGAATACAAATAAACATAAGTTGTACTTTAAGTGTTACCTCACTCCTGGAAGCAGAATGAGATGAACTTTCAGGCAGTTGATAACAAATTAGACTTAACAAGGCTAACAGTTTAGCTCCACACAGTGCTCTATAAAGTCACTGGAAAACTGTAGCATC